CGCAATTAGAATTTTTTTAATATTGTGATAAATTTTATGAATTAGCCAATTAAAATAAATTTATGAATTAGCCAATCAAAATAAATTTATGATTCAAATCATAAATTTATTTTGATTGGCTTAAAAATCCTGGCACTCAATAATGAGCCAAATTATTGGCAAATTTTTCTTATAGGAAAATAGCTAACACATTAAACAGATCCAAAAGAGCAGCTGAAAATACCATCAATGATTGTTTTTAAAAAAATGTAAACCAACTGCACCGGCAGACCTAAAAATTATGAAAGACAACTTGTGAAAGTAGTAAGAAAGAGCCCAAAACAACTGCCTATGAATTAACCAAGCAACTTGAAGAATTAAACATTATACCAAGTGGATGTAGCATCAGGTGAACTTTAGACACTAAAATAGAAAAGCTGTAAAGCAGGAAAAAAATATTATTTTGGCATCATACAGGAATGAAAGCAGGTTTTTAGTATTTCAAAATAATTTAAATGATTGAGTTTGAAGGAGCTCTGAACAGATTGGATTGGACCTGATCTGAAATATCTTATGTACAATAATAAAATTTATTGATAAAAAAAAACAATTTTATAATTAAATAAATTACTTATAAAGACTTTATGAATTTTAAAAAAAAATTTTATGAATTAAGAAATTATAAATTAAGAATTACAATAAGTAAATTATCGAATAAAAAAAATTTAGTTAACAAAATTAAACTGATGATATATTTGACCAGAACTTACTGTGGAAAGATCCTAGTTGATTCTGAAATTGAAGTTTTATTCTATCTATTCTTCCTATGGTTATTATTTAAATTATTAATTGGTTATAAGAAAGAGTAAGGTTCCTAACAATATTCCTCTTTTTAGCTCTCATTTACTCTTTGAAGTCTTAGGGATTATTTCAAATTCTTTGGAATTATTAATATACAAGTCTTTATTATTTATCCCTATAATAATTATTTAATAAAGATAATTCAGGGAAATCCTTAGCTAATTTACTTACTCTTTCAATTGCAGCAGGTGCTTCCATGTTTGCAAGACAGTTTTGCATAGTCATGATTGGCTCTCTGAATATTTATAAACTATCTTTAAAACAAACATGATAAAGTTTTGACTGGTTGTCTTGAATAATTTCTATAATTACACATAAAAAGATAATAAATTCAAACCAAAATATGCACTCTTATTGAAAAAAAAAACTAATATGTAAACCTTTGTAAATTATTAAACTGTGTATTTAGATTATAAAAATATGGTATTATTGTATGGGATGCAGAAAGTAGAAACAGCTCTAACAACAAAATTTCGATTTTGAGTCAATCCTTTACAAGGGACATACGCCTATAACAATCTCACAAAAAATAGAAATATGCATTGAAAAAAATAAAGACCCAAACATAAAAATAACCAGCTTGTATTTAAATATAAATGTCAGTGAATCTACTGTTTCTGAAATTCTAAAAGAGTGATTATTTTACATACTCGACCAAATTTTTTATATATTTCTGAAGAGATTTCAATCCAGGCAGATCTAAGAAGTTCAAGAAGGTGATTTATCCTCCAGGGCTTTGGTTTTGCTGCTAATATTTTATTAATTCCAAAGACTGATTTATACATTACTTCAAAAAAATCCCAGTGTATACGCACCACACTTTCTCTCATGTTCAATGAAACATGTAATGGACCAAGGATTGGAACAAAATTATTGATTATTTGAGGTATTTGTTGAAAATTATTATTTTGCAGATTTTGATGTTTATGAAGAAGGGTTATTGCTTTACGTATAAACAATTGACCTGGGAAATCTGCAATAATTGGTATAATATTGCTTTGTAGGTAATTATTTAAAGAAGGAATTTCAGTTATCATTTTAAGAGCATTTAAATAGTCATCCAAACTTTTTAAATTTAATTCTTTAATATTAACTAAATGACAGTCTATCATAGATCTATCATTACAAAGACTTTCTATAGCATAATTATACGAATGAATCATCAAGAGTTCTAGTCTATCAAACTGTTCAAAGGTGACTATATTATTTTTCAGCCAACTATATTTTTTTTCATTGTAACTTATGCTTAATGAGCTAAAATATTCATCATTTAAATATTTAATAATCCTATCTGCCTCAATATTTTTAGGATTATGTACTGGAATACCAT